CAACTCTTGTACAATTAAATAGTCATTCTTAGAGGGATCAATACCTCGAACTCTCAAAGTCCACTTTATTACTTGTACGCGACCCATATACTTGTGGTATATTTTCAAGCGAACATCAAGTCTGATCTCAGTCTGCTATGTAATAAAGCAAGACATTCCGCTTGTAATTCCATAAGCAATTTCAATGTAAAGACTGATATAGACCTACGACATTGTCGTATGGGACATCTCCCTATTTCCAAACTATATGTTTTACATGATTTGGTTCCCACCATTACATTCAATAAGCAACTACATTACACTGTTTGTCAAATAGCTAAACAACACAAGCTACCTTTTCCTGTTGGTGAAACTAGAGCATTCAAAAGATTTGATATAATCCATTGTGATATATGGGGACCATATTCAGTCCCCTCATTGGATGGCTCTAGATACTTCTTAACCATTGTTGATGATTATACTAGAATGACTTGGACTTACCTAATAAGAGAAAAATCTCAAACTGAATCCATCATTAACTCATTCTATCATATAATTCAAACTCAGTTTGACTGCAAAATGAAAGTCCTCAGGTCTGATAATGGATCTGAATTCCATATGAGTAATTTTTTCCAGTCTAATGGCATTCTTCACCAACTCAGATGTGTTGAAATACCTCGGTAAAATGGAGTGGTGGAGAGAAAACAGCACCACCTTTTAAACGTTGCTAGAGCTATCAAGTTCCAAGCCAATTTGCCTCACAAGTTTTGGGAGGAAACCATCCTTGCAACAACACGTTTACTCAACATAACTCCTACTCTTGTCCTTCAGAATAAGACACCTTATGAAATGCTTCATCAAACAGCACCATCATATTCTCATCTCAAGGTTTTTGGATACCTTTGTTATGCTTCAAGCCTCAAAAGAAATCGTACCAAATTTGACCCTAGAGCTATGCCATGTATCTTTATTGGTTACCCCTATGGCATGAAAGCTTTTAAATTGTATAATCTGCTCAACAACTCTATCTTTGCCTTTAGAGATGTTAAATTTCATGAGAATATTTTTCCATTTCATCATCCCAGCTTCCTTACCTCTTGGCAAAATCTGGCATCTGCTTACCAATTGATTCATTTATTTTCCAAGTCCAAAGTGATGATTCATCGCTTGATATATCAGTTCCAAATTCTGGTACTAACTCGTCTCTACTGATGTTAACTCTCATATCAATTCTGTTCCAAATTCTTCTGATTCTCCTCAAATAGATACTTATGAGTCCACTCCAATACCTATCCTCACTCCAACTCCTGCTGTACCCATCAGACAATCTAACATACCTAAAAGAGCCCCAACCCATCTTTAAGATTATCACTGCAGTCTTGCATCTCAAGTGCCTACTTTTCAATCAAAATCCATGGTGAAAGGTCAAATAGCTCGCAAGCAATATCCTATAGCTAAGTATTTGGATTATGGCAGATTATCCCCTACTTACAAGAGGTACTTGCTTTATCTATTATACATGAGCCTAGATCATATGAAAAGGCTGCTAAGTATCCAAAATGGCGTACAGCCATGGAGAATGAGTATCAGGCATTAGTTTCAAACAACACCTGGACTATCACTCCTCTCCCTGCACATAAAAGGTCTATGGCTTGCAAATGGGTTTTCAAAGTTAAACTAAATTCTGATGGAACTGAGGAGAGGAAGAAAGTCAAACTTGTTGTAAAAGGATTCACACAACAAGCTAGACTTGATTATAAAGAAACCTTCTCCCTTATTGCTAAGCTAGTAACTGTGAAGACTTTGTTAGCTATTGCAACTCATCGATGCTTGCGTCTCCATCAATTAGACATCAATAACGCTTTCCTCTATAGTGAACTTGATGAGGAGGTTTATATGTGGATGCCTAAGGATTATGAGCAGTAGGGGAGTGTGGAGAACAACTGGTATACAGGTTAAATAAGTCCATTTATGGACTCAAACAGGCATCTTGACAGTGGAACACTAAACTCACTTCATACATTATTTCACAAGGATTTAGATGGTCAAAATCTGACTATTCTTTGTTCAACAAACAAGAAAAAAGATTATTCACTGCTTTACTGATATGTGTGGATGATATTATCATAAGAGAAAATTACTTGACATTCATTGAGCAATTCAAGAAAGAATTGAATGAGCAATTTAAATTAAAAGATTTGGGGGTTCTAAAGCATTTTCTGGGGCTTGAGATAGCCAGAACATCAAGATGAATATTAGTAAATCAAAGGAAATACGCCTTAGACGTGTTGACAGATGCAGGATACCTTGGCGCCAAGCCTGCCAAGTTTCCTTTGCCACAGAATTTGAAGTTAAGGACCAAGGAGAACTGGTTGAAGATGCAAGTACATATAGAAGATTGAAAGAAACAATCCTATACTTGACTATAACCAGACCAAATTTATCATATCTAGTACATGTACTTAGTCAATTTCTTCAATCACCAAGGCAGCCACATCTGGAAGCTACTCATCATGTACTTAGGTATCTGAAGGCTACACCAGCATAGGGATTACTGTTCAAAAGCAAATCATACCTGATTCTTAAGGGCTTTTGTGATGCTGATTGGGCAGCCTGCACAAATACCACAAGATCAGTAACTGGTTACTGCATTTTTCTGGGAAATTCATTGGTGTCATGGAGATCAAAGAAGCAACATACTGTATCTAGATCCTCAGCAGAAGCAAAATACAAGTCCATGGCTGCAGCCGTTTGTGAATTAAGCTGGTTGAAAGGCATTCTTACATATCTTGGTATCAAATAGGATAGAGCAGCTTTGTTATTCTGTAACATTCAATCAGCCATCCATATTGCTAGCAACCCAGTTTTCCATGAAAGAACCAAACATATAGAGATTGATCGTCACCTTGTGAGAGATAATTCAAGCTGGAAATGTTAAAATGCTACACGTTAACTCTCAGGATCAGCTAGTAGATATATTAACAAAGCCATTAGGAGGAATTCGGTTTAAACTGTTGATCATCAAGATAGGAGTTTTGAATATACATCACCTATCTTGAGGGGAAGTATTGGAGAATTTGTAAATTGTAGGAGGTTATTTAGTCATTTTCATTTCTTTCGTCTTCTATATATATTGTACAGCTGCTTTCTGTTTCAATTCAATTGGGGATTAATAGATTTTCCCTCCATTTTGTCTTCCTCTCCATCTCTCTTATTTCAATATCTCACAGTTCTTATATACTATTCATAATAGTTTATTAGTAGTTTTCCAACAGTGTTTGTGATTCCTTAAATATATTTGGTTCACTTTGTTAATACGAGTATCAATTAAGTGTCTTGTTTCCAATTTTGAAGAATAATAAGGTTTACTATTTTCTTCAAAATGAAATTGAAGAATAAATAAAGGTGAAAGAAATTGGTACTTCTACGTCCAATGAGGATTGCAGGGAATTGGTTATAGTGTTGGAAATTTTTGGTAATGCTATGGTAATTAATAATTTAATATAGTCATCTACATATGTGTTGTGTACATATGAGTAGAATATACATTGAGGGTTGATTAATTTTATTCAACTACAAAGATCAATATTATATTGTGATAAGATTGAGAATTACTTTATAATGAATTATTATATCTTTGGTATGTGGGGTGTTTAATACAGATACACCTCACATTTTATTATTCTAGTTGAATTAACTGACTTTTGAAAAGTGTTGAAACTAAATTGTAGACTTGTAGGTGAAATGCAAGAGCTCAATGGATGCATTAGCCCAAACGTGATACCAAAAGTCAATTTCTAAAGTTCACATTTTTATTGGATCATACTTAAATATGTGACTTTGATATTTTAGAAGACTATACAGATGTGCAGATTACAAGTGGAAGAGCTTTGCAAAAATATGATAACAAATTATTATCCAAAAGGAACATAAATAAATTTTAGTCCGAGATGGACATAATAAATCATCGAGCGGGATGAGTTTAAGCCCATAAGTGAGTCATCTCCGAGAGTAATCCAACCTTTGTGATTGGAGATCCCATGAAGAAGGTTCAATACGGTAGAAACAACCCGCACCGTGTGACTTGTAATAGCACTATATTATTTGTGCTCATCCCTATGGTGATAGTGTTAAATAATGTGATGTTAGAAAGGGTTAAACCCTGAATGAGTACCGAGGCAAGAAATCTTGCAAGGTGTGGATCACACACACCCTTGGATGACTCACCTATGTAAGAGTTGCATTGAGGCCGTGGCTATGGGATTGGGCTATTCCCTAATGGCCATTAACAGCGCTACCCGCTACGAACGGAACCTAAATAGATACTGTGTGTGGGACAATTGAAGTTTGGCTAAAAGGACATAATTCAAGGCTTAGTCCATTATGGCTCCCTCAAATGGAAATTGTTATCACTAAGTGGGGGTTCAAGTCCAAATCACACCTACACATATTGCACAGTATTATGTTGCCACTATTATATATAATTTGAAAGTTTAAAACTTGTTGGGGATTGTTGTAACATAAAATTAAAAGTTTCAAATTTCAAAATTAAGACATTTTAATGTTAAGGTTTGTTTTCAATTTCAGATTTAATATGAAATTAAAATATCATTATATTAAATGTAACCTCTTTTTAATGAATTAATTTTCATTATGGTGGGGGGTTGAACTTTTACACTATAAAAAGGACATGAAATTTCATTGTTTATTTGACAAGAAAAAAAAATACAATTTGATAGACAACTTGAAAATACAAGTTAAAGAATTATTCTCCTATATACATTTTCATACTATATTTCTATATTTTTTTGGCAATTCGAAAAAATGCTCATTCTTTATCTCTGTATAGTCGTGTCCATAGAAGAAGAATCGGCTATAAACCACATGAGTTTTATCTTAGAACCATGTAGTACTGAAAAAACCCGCACGAAGGAGAGGCAATACGACTTTGGGACAACGTCCTTGACGTGACTCTCAAAGGATTGAATATCTAATTCTATCTACTTATATTTTATGTTCATTCTTATAGTTTTAATTATAGTTGAATTATATTTATTAATGTTATGTTTCTATTATTTAATTAATTATGTTAATTGATAAATATCTACACGCAAATTACCTATTTTTTCCAACATACAGTTCTAATAATGATCGTTGGATTTCATTTGATACCT